CCCTTGGTATCCTCAGGGTGCACACAAAGCCAACAACCCCACAACAACCCCCTCCCTTCCCCCCACAGTATCATAAATAAAGGCTCTATTCAATGCCCCATAGTCATTAGGATCCCAAACATCCATATGAATGAATTATACTTAAAGATGATAAAACCATACGTTCTTTTAATTGGCTGGCTCTGTACTCATGAACGCATGGAGAGAAAATGACAGTATAATGAATCTTAATTTCTCTCTACCTTCAGGGAGGACATCTTTATCAAGGGCAAAACGTCTTCAAATGCTGGATGTGAGGTCTCCACACTGATGGATGACAACATGAGCCGAAATTCGTGTTTCAGAATCGACTCTATGTTGGCCTGCAAAAATCCATTCCTAACAAAGAATGAAACAGCAAGCTTCCTACAGTCTTGTCCTCCCTGTATAGATAAGCTCCTCATAGAGAGATGACTGATTTATTCCACCTCTGATTCAGGAACTGCTGTTGTTCCATGTCTCAGCAATGGTAGAAAGACCAAATGGTCCATAGGAGCAGACACAGTCCATTAATTACACTGTTAAAGATTGTTACAGACAACAATTTGTCACCACAGATACTTAAACACAGCATCTGAGGGTCTTAAATCTACCAGCAAGACTTCACAAAATGAAGGTGGATATCAATATGTTAGCCTATTGCCATTTATTTTACCCAAAAGTTATTGTTCCCATTTAATTTTTTATTCAATAAAGACAGCCACTAGATGGCACTATTGTCATTTTCTCACACATGCTTTCTTAAGGGTACAATTAAGATGTGGTCCTTTTCTCTTCAGTTTTACTTAGTATCACTACATAGTGTAAAACCCTGAAGCATTTTGACTTCGCCAGCCTAGTTGCGTCCAAATATGCAGGAATGAGATGTTTTCCCATCCACGCTCTGGGTGACCACAGTCTTAAGTTCAGCTGCCAGCAAGTTGAAAATACCTTTGTTTATTTTCTAGCCTATCTTTTGTTGCTTCAGCAAGGACAACCCGGAGCTCAGTAAAACTGAACCACACTGTGAAAATAGTGCACAAGCAGTGATCGGAAATCACCTGCAATGAGTCCATCAAAAACAAAAGCAATCAATTTGTGGAGGTGCCTCCCCCATCACTCTACCCTTTGAGTTCTACATTGATCTGTCAATATAATTGATTATGTGACCTTCAACTATTCTAAGAGGCAGAAACCATATCATGCAACGCATGTAAAAGTCATTGAGTAAACTATCAGTGATAAAGATGCTTTTGCTATTTTCTGTGAGGAAAAAAGTCAATAAAGAAAAAGGGAATTAATTTCAGGCTGGAGAAGTAGATTTTTTCATATCTTTATGTGGACAAATGAAAAACACTTCTTGATACTGAAGTATTTATGTTTTGCGAAGGAGAATAACATGATTGTATCTCACGCCAAAATACTGACAACTGAAACCTGCTATAGTTTTGAAATATAGAAGAAAAATGACATTCAAGAAAATAGTACATATTTGTTAGAAGTTTGATTATTTCACTTGCTATTGATATGAAGTGTGTATTGCCCTAGCTCTTGATACACTCTTTAATGACAGGGTAAACAGGACATATCTTTGCATTTGTTATGTTCATATTTAACAAACTGGGAACATGATCATTAAAGAAGGAATCGTAAAGGAAAAACTGGGAGAAAGGCAAGGAAATCATTACATGTTAAAAAAGGATCTTCTCCAGTGCTGACTTTGATCTCTACTAAAACCAGCGTGGGTATGACAGGACAGGGGGCATGTCACTTCCTCTTGCCCGCGCTCTTGGTCTGCTTGCGGCTCGTCAGCTGCGGCTGGGGCGTGCTCTTCTCCAGCTCCACCTGTCGGGCTGCTTCCAGCGCTGACTCCTCCTCCTTCTTCTTGAGCTCCGCCTCCAGCAGCTGACTCCGGTACGCCTCCCGCGCTTGCAGGATTTTCCTCCTCCGCTCGTCCAGGGCCATCTGCTCACACAGGGAGAGATCGTCACGTACCGCCAAACCGGGTTCATCCCTCACGCAATGATGGTGACTGTGGTTTGGGCAGCCACCGAGCGTTACGTTATCCTCCGCTCTTGCTGTCTTGTTGTGTGGGGCCGACAGGGCTAACGCTGAGGCCCACGGTAATCCACACACTTTAGCCTAGAAACTTCACTTGACTCCCAGGTCCAGCAGACAATGCGGCCTCAGTGATGTCATCTTGTCTGCACTGTAGAGGTTTACACCTGCTGGCATGGGGGTGTGTAAATGATTTAACTGATATTCAAGAGGACAGGGAAAACAGCCCCAGGTGACTGCCAGCCTGTCAGACACAAACAACACATCAGTCAATCAAATATATTTTTGTACATGGGGTTTCACAACAGCAGCTGTCTCAGATTGTTTTGGGAAGCACTGTATATTAATGAGTGGCGTAATGGTATAGTGGTAAGGCTTAGGGCTCGTGACCCAAAGATTGCTGGTTCAGTTCCGAAATGGGGCACTGCTGTTGTATCCTGTGGCGAGGTACTTAACCCGAATTGCCTGTGAATAATTTCCAGCTGTATACATGGATAAAATGAAAATGTCTGCTAAGCAAATGTTATGATTCTGTGAAGCGAGATAGCATGATAGTTACTCTGCATTACTGTAGTGAAAAACAGATCAGTGGATGCAATGCAGACAATTGTGACAAAAAGAGAGTCTCAACACTCAGATGCAGTGAAAATAATGTCCTTCCACAGTGTATCTTCTCCTCTACTACAGCATAATAAATCCACTTTAAATCTACTGCAATATTTCTTATTTCTCTATTTCTGTCAAAACTCATAAGAAAGTTTTTAAAAAGATTTCACTTGTGGCATTAAAGATAATTGGTCTTCCCACGTCTGACCTTTTGGAATTCAACAATTGAGACGTTATTAGTACGGTGAGAATTGTTACCAGTGATACCAAGCAGTCCTAACAGAGCTGCTTTGAACAACTAGCACTGGGCTCAAGCTATGGTTGTTTCCAGTGAAAAGGAAAGTCATTTTCTAAGAGCTTTACTACAACAGCCATCATGCAAGACCACTAATTGTAAATGACCATATATTCTTGCTGTTTCTATGTAAACTGCACTCTTTTTCTCTCAGGTGCTGGTATTTAATGGTTACTGTGTTGCGCTTATGTTCTTTAAGTAACGGTTTTTGAGCCATGGCACAATGAGGAGAAATCTGAATCTGAAAAGTGTAGCGGTGGTGTGGTGTGCGACAGCGCCACCTGCAGGCCCTCGTACACCTCCAGCTGACGTCTCTTCAGCTCCTTCCTGGACAGCTGTTCCTGCTTCCTGTGCTCCAGGATGGTGTCCCGGATCAAGCGGAACCCCTGGATCTTCTCAGCTTTCTCTCTCATCTGCTCCTTCTCTATAGTCTCATCCTTCAGCAAAGCCTCCTCTCTCTGTTTTCTGTTAAGGAAAGTCCTTCGGTTAGCATGTACAAACAAGAAATATCACATGTAGAAACTGGATTCTCCCTGCCTTAATGATCACAAGTTGCTTTATACTGCCTGCTCCTGAAAGCAGCTTTCATTAATTGAAACCTGTTGTTACACAACCTTTTTAATATCCCTGATTTTGGCAGTGTAGCAGTGAGTTTATTATGAGGGCTCCTCAGTATCTGTGTAATGATTGCACTACGTTTCTAAATTTCTTATCTTACTGAAGAATGAGATGGTAGCAATTTAACTTCTTCTTAGACCAAGACATTCCAATGGTCTCTGAAGACTAAAAACCACAGGGGTTCAAAATCAATAAGAATAAACAAGCGACTATTTCTGAGTGTCTCAGCAGAAAGCAGGTCCTTACAGAAAGATTTAATTGTCTAAGGACAGGGTATTTTTTAGACTTTTTAGACTGACCTTCATTAAGAGGAAGAGAGGAAAGACATCTAATGAATGCTACCCTCAGTAATGTGGAGGGGCAAACCGGTGCAAACTAATTTGACTTTTCTAATAGACTCTCTCCTACTGCTGGCCCATGGTGTGGTGTCAGTAGTCATTAGATGGATAGATAAGGGCAATGGGTGAAGATCTCTCAGGAAGATCAAGCTCATTCTGCCCAAAATAGCTTTCTAATTAATAGACCCAAATATTGCCAGGAAAAAAGACATGAGCTTCAAAAGTGAACTCTGGGGAGAACAATTTCCTGCTTCACTTAACCCTTCTAACACAGTGTAATAATGTACTGAACCTTAACCTGAACCCCTAACAAAAAACATCTGATGATTGTGGAAGTGTGTGTGAGCACGTGTGTGTGTGTGTATGTATGTGTGTGTACAGTATGTGTGGGTGAGAGTGACAGAATGATAGGGATGACAGTGGACAGAATTTCCGCATTTTTATTTTACAGACTGTCTTCATTTCCTCACAATCCATTTCATGGTTATTCATGTTATAGAACTGCCATCATCTGTTGTCTCATGACACAAACTCCTGATTTAAGGCAAAAGACCAGGAACTGAGAATGACAGTAAAATGATAGTAAAAAAAAGTCTGAAAAGGCCTCGTTGGGGTCTTGGCTTTAGTTTTTTGTTTTGTGTTTCTCATTTTAGTTTTCAGTCAGTGAACTCTTGAGGGGCAGCTGAAGAAGATTCATTTATTTTATCCTTGCACTTCCTGGCTCGCCCTGTAATGAACACCTGCCAGGGGACCATGATTTGTGTCTTGCTGTTCTCCGTGCTCTGTCATTCCCAAGCCATCACAATGCTGTCACAATGCTGAATATTTATACCGCGTTTCATGTGTAAACGTATTCAAATGTATAAATATTTATAAAGCGTGATTACCTGGTGAATATTTGAATTAATTCCGTACTTATCTGCTTTATCTCTGTGAAAAATGTGATTTCTGGACTGTGCTCAGGAATGTAACCCCACTTATAGCATTGTGCGCATGAGAAAATAGGATTCTGTTCCCAGTGACCACATCATGATGTGTTTTTTAGGCTGTTGAAGTGAATACCACCTATACAGTGTACTCCCTGCATTGAGGAGGTGTTCCTACACAAATTACTTGTGGGATTTCTCCTGCTGTGCATGGCAAATGTTTGACAAAGAAATTTAGGAGGTAATGAGGTAGCAATCTGAATTTAATTTTACATCCCTCCTTCTCAAAGATGAGCAGAGAAGCAAACCTGATGGTATAGCTTCTGCTCTCTTTTCAAACGAGTAGACATCATCTTAACATACAGATCACCTTTACAACAGAGACACACCGATAACCTTTCAACACGCAGTAATGTTACTTCCTTTTTAGTGACAATGTGTAATCCTGTTAACATGATGTAAACACCTCTGTTAAGAAGGTCAGGATTCGACCAACAGAGACAAAGAGGACACACAGCAATTAAATTAATGGGTCAAACTGCTGACAAGCGCACAATGCACTGTGCCAAGCTGACTACAAGAGGCTGAGATTTCAGCCCCCAGAGGGAAACAGCAGCACAGGTGCAGTCAAACAGGTGAGGAGATGATGGAGACTATCAGGATGATCCGATGTTCCAGCATTAAGCTGTAATCTTGCATCTGTGCCTCTGCTTAAATTCAATGATGTATCGCGGAGTGACACAGCGCTGCCATTGCCGCTACCCCGGCACTAAGTGGACTTGAGATGCACTTCAAAACATGTCTGCATTTGTGTGCTACAAATAGTTTCTGATTTTAGCGCTGAAATTCTCTGGAGCAAACATAAAATTGGAACCAAAAAAAACGAGACAGGGATTTCAGTTCCTAGAATAACTGCGGACGGGGGATTGGCCATATGTGCATTCCTTGAAACAGTTTACAGAGTTTCCATTTTAAAAAGATTTACCTTTCTCAATTTGACACTTTAAGGATAAAGGTGAAATTGTCAAGGACTATTTTTATTGCTGAAGTATTCAAATTCCCCTTACATTCGCTTACTTTGAAGAGGGAATTGTTGGGGAGTGGATTCTACATAGTTAATGACATGAAGCTACTAAGTTATCTAGCAATTAAGAGAAACTTAATTTGTTCACTGTAAAAGTGAAATAAAATGATCTTTGTATTTTTAATACAGCAATTTTCTATGAGTTTTCAAGGTCAGTGGGATATTTGAATAATTTCCATGACTTTCTAAGATGAAACATTTCTCAAGGACTGTGCTCCAACTGTGTTCCCTGGAGCTCAAAAGGACCTCAGAAGGTAAAGTAAGAGCAATTAAAAGGTTCCTCCTTTCGCTTTTAATAAAAACTGTTTCACTTCCTTAATGATGACACTCAAAATGACACATTAAGCACCATAACAATAAAGTTGAGTTGCATGCAAGCTACGCAACCCTAAGCCCTTTGAATGTGACATACTATAATAATAAAAACAATGACAATAACTGGAAGACGAAGTAGAAGAAAAAGAAGAAAAGCTGTGTGTTGAGAATATTTCAGAGAGCTTTGCTAGATATCCAGCACAGACAGCAGTGGGCATAGAGTATGGAGTTCAGACCTGATAAAGGGAGTGAAGTCCATGGGGATATGGACAGGGGGCTGGGAGTGGTCTGTCTCAGCTGGGGGACTGGGAAGGACATTGGGGTCCAGGGGTGGGACAGCTGCCAAGAGAGCAAAATGATACCACGCATTATTATCACATGCAAAAATTAGATATATGCATTTGATATGAGCCATTTATTTAAAACGGTAACATATACAGATGCTGGCTCATATATCTTGGTGCTCTGCCATGCCCGCTGGCATATTGGACGTTGTCTTTCCCAGCAGGGCTAATCCCAGCCTTTTAATATCTACTGAACCTAAATGTGTGTGAAGGGGTAATTAGATTCTAGAAATGATCTGATGCCTTTTTCAACCTGCAGCACCTAGCTGACCTAGAAGGAGCGCTGGGCGCCTTTAGAACTCGCAGGCGCACGCCGTGTTCTATTTAATACCGCAATTGTGATGTCACAAAGGCCCAGCACGAACACACCAACCGGTGGGATGAGAGGGGCCTGGAGCCAGCTCCTCCCTGCGCACCTCTTGCACCTGAGCTGACTCATTCAGACGGCATCTTTGCGTGTCAAAGTCAGCACCCGGGGGCTCTGCATGTGCATGCGACACCCGCGCGTCCGCAGCGGAATGGAAATGAGGACGGCAGACGTCACCCGGCCCCTTTGCTTTAACGCGCTCCTGTGTGACTGCCCTTTCTTGTTGCCCTTGGCTTGCATGCATTATTCTGGGACCTTCAAGCCATCTTATTTGGCAAACACTGTGTTTGCACCTCTTCTCACATGCATACACTCACACACACACACACACACACAAGCACACAGTCTCTCTCTCTCTCTCTCTGTCGACACTCTAGCTCTCCGTCCTCTCTGAGCTGATGCCAGCAGCCAGGGCAATGACAGGATTAAGAGGTGAGAGCTGAGTCTATCTCCTCCAGCACTTGCAGAGCTTCAGCCAGCATGCTGCATCTCAGAGCCTGGGCTCAGTCTTGCATGTTACATGAGAGCTGA